CTTGGGGGTTGCCGTATTCCAAGTTATCTTCAATTAGACTTGGGTCTAACATGGTGGCTTTCGATTCAAAAGTGATTTTTCCTGACATCCAATTAGGTTGCGGTCTTGTGAGGGCCAAAGAGGCTATCAACTCTTCAGAGTCGGACAGATACCGCATTGTGGCAGGTAAGACGGCCAAAAAAGGTTCGTCACCGTGGATAGCCCGTCTGTGGGATCGGCGTTTGGGCAGACACTTCTGCGGTGGATCCCTGATCAATTATCGTTGGGTGCTCACATCAGCTATTTGTGTGGACGAACCCATTCGTTCAGGCCGAGGACATTCGGGTCCGTTTGGGTGATCACGATTCCTTCCACAAGGAACCGAGTGAGATGATGTTCAGGGTCTCGCGGATTGTGGTGCACAACAATTTCAACAAGACAAGCTACGATAATGATATTGCCTTGATAGAGCTGGATCCCAGGGTGCAGGAATTCACCGACTATGTCTCCCCGATTTGTTTGCCCAAACCTCGCCTCTCTAAAAGGTTACTGATGCCAGGAAAATATGCTAGGATCGCCGGATGGGGGGCGCTAGCCGAGATGCTACCTTACCATAGGTATCTCCGCGACGTCCGAGTTCCCATTAGGCCCGAGAGGGATTGCCAGGAATCGGGTGGGAGTATGTTCACCACAAACATGTTTTGTGCCGGCTACCGCCAGGCTGGGCATGGAGACGCTTGCCGGGGGGACAGTGGGGGTCCTTTTGCCATGAAGAAAGGGGACAAGTGGCACCTGCTTGGGGTGATTAGCTGGGGCGAAGGGTGTGCTAGGGCTGAAAAGTATGGCTTCTACACCAAGGTTTCCAACTACTTCTCCTGGATCACAGAGGTCATGACCGCCGGTGTTGGAGATGATTCCTCAGTGTCTGAGTCCGAGTCCTCGTTGTCTGAGTTCGAGTCCTCAGTTTCTGAGTAAGTGCTCATGACTGATTCCTAATCAGATTCCTCGACGTTTTGAGATTTCATCCCATCGGGACCGTCACCAAAAGACAAACGATACACACAGTTCAGACAGACTCATTACCCCCATTTATCCGAAGCAAGGCTTCCTCTTCTTTTCTCCTTCTACATAAACAATCTACCAGGAGAAAAAAACGTGATAGGGTCTGAAAATTTCTTGGGATAAATTTTACCCTAAGGGAGAGTGAACACTGCACCCGAAAGTTTGGTAGGAAATTGGTTGGCATCAATTCTAGTTTGTTGTAACCAAAAATGGTTGCTATTTACCCATTTTGTGGACGAAATCTGAATCAGAAATTAATTCTTATCACCAAAATTGAGTTCACAAAACCCATTTTTATGGTATTTACGTTCCCTTGGGTTAAGATTTAATTCAAACAATTTTTCAGCGATATATGCAGTTTTAGCTAACAGTACGTTTAAAAACTGGACAGACTTGGGGCATGGAGATAATAATGGGCCCAGCCCGTGGAAGGCAATCGAGGCTCATTATAGGCACAACGATGATATTCTAATAACCAGTCTAAATTTCAAATCTTTGCAACAAAGAAAATTATTTCTTTATCTGCGTGCAGACAGTAAAAGAAATCATAACAGGTGAATCTTATACTTTGTAAATGACCATTTAGAGCGATACTTATTACTAATTGTTCATTTGGTAACTTAGACATTATAATTCTCTACGGAAAATTTAATACACTGTGAATGAGCAGACATAGTACAGGCATAACACACTGTCAGACCGTCACTTACAGCTTTTTTCTAAATTCTTTAATGTTTACTTTTACATACTTTTTATTGTATTAAAGAGCAGTTTCAAAAATGGTAATGAAATATCTTGAGTTTTAGAATGTTTAGATTTTTTTTAGTTGCAGTGTCTGTGTAGTTTTTTTATGCTGTAAGGCAAGTCTAAAGAAAGTTTGGTTTTTGCAGCTGAAATATGGAGGACGAAAAGTGGCCATCTGCTTTCCTGCTGTCAGAGTAGTTGAAAAGCAGATGTTATGTTTTTGTAACATGCAATTTTTGACTTTTCTGACACCTTAAAAGCAGAACGAACATTATTTTGTAATGCATTTTTCTACTTTCTGCTTTTCTGCTTCACGAAAAGCAGATTTTACTTTTTCTTCCGCGTTTGCTGGCGGCCGAAAAGTGGCCATCTGCTCTTCTCCTTTCGAACATGCAGTAAGGAGGATTGGACATTTTGGCAACAACCTTGAATTCTACTTTTCCACTTTTTTAAACTGGAGAAGCAGATTTTACATAGGTGGCCTAAAAATGGCCATCTGCTTTTCTGCCGTCCAAGGGCCATGAACGTGGTCGTGAACCTCAGGTTACGACCATTTCCTTTCTAGGAATTGAAGACGTATAAAGCACAAAGGAATGTGTACAACAAAACCCACCATGTTTTGGATTAAGTAAGCTTCAAATCTGGACTAAGCAAGGTAGGCTTACGTTCTTAATATGTACAGTGTTAATTGTAAAAAAGCAGCAATACATCGATCGACAATTCACAAGTCAACATTTATACTACAAAATACTGTAATCTAAATTACACTTTGCACAAATAATCTTCGGAACTTCACCTTTTCACTATTTACGATAGTCTTGAATCAAGTCGGACTTACCTTGGTCTTCCCCAGGCAGCCATCCCTTATGCCTGTACGCACTACACGGTCCTCGCGCTCGGCCCGGCAGCGCAACATGTATCACACGTCACCAGTCAGTAAGTCCGACATGACGGATAAGCCAGTTGGTCCTCCCCCCAATAATCTGTACCTATTCATAATTGCATATGAATGACATGATCTTGCATAATAATTTTCACCAGTCAAAATAGTCAGTCTTGTAGATTCGTTTATTATAATGCAGGTATGAACGACGTAAGAACAAGTCCAGCAATGTGATTGGCTGGTACCACTTCCGGTACTCCGTTCTCTGTGTACAAACGGTCGGCAGATTTGTCAAGTCGGGGTTGCTGAACTGAACTCATGGTAATAAATGGACACAAGAGGGCGTAAAGCAAGTAACGACGCTTGGTCTCGATCATTAACGAAGACGTCACAGAAATCCCGACTTGAGTCAAGTCTATATTTACGATGGATGCTCTACTTTATAACTCTTGACATTGATAAGGTAAACACTTTCAAAATTTTGAAATAAAAGCTGAAAATGAAGGCCAAAAGGAGATACAATTCAAGGTTACCATCCAAGACATTACATAATATATCTATTGTTTCAGGTTTACTGTATGTAAGAGTGCTATTACTCGTTTACAAAATATCGTGAGCCGTAAGTGTGCTGCTTTTCTTCCTTTTAGAAACAAATCTTTGGTAGTTGTCAACAAGGCACCAGTTTGATAAGTAAAACGTGTCAACATTGCTCAAATAAGTTTTTAAAAACCTGGTAAAATGATGCGCTGAGTGTCAACTTTGGACAATCAGTTATTGACGGTCCATAACCACTTGACACAACTTCCACATTGTTTCTATTGTCACTGACGCTCTAATGTGAGTTTTGAGGAGAGTTTCTGCTAACAGCTCTATACGGTTGGAAACAGGCACACATTTTCATTTACATTTCACGTATTTTCATGCTGCATTTTTTGAGGGAATAATCGTGGGTACCTTTCCAGTGAAGCCAATGAATTCCCCAATCTACACCTGCTTTCTCACCTTCCGGGTAGTAGATCCCGTTCAAATGCGATCTCATACAGTCCGTGACATGGGCTCCATTGAACCACCATGCTCCTTTATGATAGTCCGCGCAATTGTACGGCCAGCCGTCGTTATCCTTATCAATCGTTGTAAAGCCCCAACCTTTGCTGTACGCCAGGGAGTCACCGGCAGTGCTGTCCGCATCGTAAAGATCATAGGTTAGACGGTACTCGTTGGGTGTTAATTTGAAATCAGTGTACTTTGCCCAAGCCGTGTTGCTCTCCCAGTCCCCTAAATCGACTCGGAGCTCCCATGTTCCCCGTGAATCATCAGACGTCAGAGTCAACAAGTTGTCGTTGCCCAACCAGAACTCACCGTCCAGATCGCCGAAACCAGACTGATACTCAGCCCAGCTACGCCAGAAGTCCACGCTGCCGTCTTGTCGCCTCTGGAACACAATCCATCCTCCGTCGTCAGTGTCCATGTCGCAGTAGACACGAAGACCACTATCACTGAATCCCTCTGGGTAGATTGTGTAGGTGCCGCTTGATCGATATCCGGCATGTAACAGCGTGCTGCAACTTCTGTGGCGATTGAAGCAGCTTTCGGCAAGCGAGTGGGTGTCTTTCTCTACATCGAAGTAGAAACTTCCTGGTGCTGTTTTCAAGTCCTCGGGATACTCGCGTCTTGTGACAAGATTTAACTCACAAACTTTATTGTGATTGTAGAAATTGAAAGACTTACAGGCCTCATTGTTGTTGCACTGTAGCCCGCAGGTGAGACGAGAGCGCACAGTTCTCTTGGCATAAGCCTGACCTACCAGGGCGCGATTTTCCACGGCATGAAACTTTTGCTGCCGTATTTTGCACCAATTTTCAAATCCAGCGACGGTAGTTGTCACGATTGCTAGATACATGTACATAAATTGGAACAGCTTGATAGCAAAGGGCTGTCGCGTCATCGTCTCCATCGTCTGATTTCGGCGCAGTGTACATAATACAGTCAACATAAAATACTACCCCGTCGTCCAAGGTTTTATCTCGTCTTGAGTTAATTTCTTAACAGTCTTGTCGGAGTTTCTAGGCCGGGACCGAATTCAGGAGATAGGCAGCACGCACTCACTCGTTGGGGTGTGTCTGTAGACACTGGTCTAGTGGACGTCTCTGTCGTTTGGTCAGTCACTGTTCCGAAAGACCTTTCGCATCACATCTCGTATTCCTGTTGGTAAACGGGTGTTTTTCGCGTACCAGTAGTGACTAGTTGCTGCTACATCAGCAACCCTCGGCGTTTTGATTGGATGGGACTGTCATGTAGACGAACTGGTTATCGTCAATGTTTGCAGAGTCTAAAACGACTCGAAAAGAACCCGCTTGCGCTTCTCAAAATAAAAAAAAATGAAAACACCATCAAGGAAGAATCTGGGAGTCAGTCAGAGTGATTGTCGCTTCTATGGTAACGAGACTCACGTGTTATTTACTTCATTCCTCTTGCTAGTTTGATTGGATGGGGCTGTTCCAAGTAGATGCGGAAGAGCTGGCCTTGGCGATGAGACGACAGCCTATTGGCAATCAAGACGATAAGCAACATGCATGAAGCACTGTTTGCGTATATTTTCCGGCTGGTTGTTACTCTGTTTGATAGAAAATGAATGTTTTAAGCGAATGTCGATTTAGCATGCCATTATTGATTTGATCCAAACACTCCTCGCCTACCGCCAAGAATGAGGCCATGGTGTGAAGTGTACCATGTTCAAAAGGCGCGCTGACAGAAAAACATCAATGTTGCATAATATATGTAACAATTTCTCACTTTGTTAAACATAGTTCTCCAATTCCCTGCCTAAACGGGTGGAAAGACTAAACAAGAGAGAGAGAGAGAGAGAGAGAGAGAGAGAGAGAGTGCCAACACTTAATGGGTTCCAGTTTCTTTTGATGAAACAAGAATGTTTGCAAAGTTTCTTCACTTTTAGACTTGAAATCAAGTCAGTAATTGGCTGGGTGTAGTATAGTCCACGTTCCTCGCGATGGGTACGCGGTACAGTTCGGCGATCAATTTAATAACGCGCGGGAACGGTCAGTGCAACCTCGCTCTCAATATGCGTATCCGATAGTTCCCAATAGACTTCATCCACGGGGCCGGCCATGTTGAATTTGAAAGCGAGGTTAACTCTTCATTTTTGAATGTCGAGAGTACAAATGGAGCAATCAAATTAAATTTCTTGATAATTTTTTACCCGTCTACTGTGATGAATAATTTCAAATTCATGACTTTACATGTAGAATTCTATATTGCCAGATTTTGAAAATAATTGAAAGGGAGGCTTGAAACGCACGGAAGTATAAGACAGTCTGGTGCCATCCTAATCGACAGTTTGCAATAATATAAAACAGATTTGGGGAATAAGATCTAAAATTAAAAAAATAAAAGTTCCCGATCTCGCTTACTTTATTATTTGTATTATTATTATTAATATTATTATTTACTTAGCCATTCCTCATAAATATAACAAGAAAGGCATGGAGCAGTAAAAGTAAAATACTATGATCCAAGGACCTAGTTGCCCCAATAAAACAAATATTATGATCGCTTGGAACAGGGCTTTATCGACACTTGTGAAAAATGTCTGGGCGATTGGTAAACAAATGATCAATAAGTATTCCATTTGTAGCATCTTGGGTTGAGGGGCGGGTAATGAAATCCACCAATTGGGTCATGTCCATGGTATCCATTATTGACGTTAACTGGTGAGCTGCTAAGTAAGTAGGGTTTAGCAAGTCAGTGTTGAGGTCCCCAGTAAGAATACTGCCTAATTGATATGACATGGATAAATTTTGAATACCATCTATACTGGCTTGAAGGGTTTCCGAGTACTCTACATTGGCATTGGGTGAGCGATATAAGACGGTTACGATCCGGATGCCCCATTCAACGAAATTTCGGCCCACACCTGCTCAAATTCTGGGTGTTCAAGTGTAGTTTAGCGAAACGGCTTTAATTCTGATTTAACAGCCAACAAAACACCACCACCATTGATCTGCAAATTGCGTTCGCCGTTACCAAGGAGACACACCTCACTCCTGTCTCGGCGGAAAACCACATATTGTGGCGAAACAGGGTAGCTGCGCAGACTTGTGTTTAGTCTGGGTCATTGATAATTCAGGCGCATCTAATCATGCATTAAACATGCACGCGGCAACCAATCAGGTGCGCATTACCTTAGGTCTGCGTGACATGTTCCACATGTACATATATAATTCTCATGCGATTACCTGGATATTTATTGTGTCCGACAATCTAGTATTTCTGATGTCTGATAATCCATAAAACTGTTATTCATGGCTTGTTGTGGTCTCTCCACCACTGCCAGGACCAACGTAAACAAGAGGGATGAGTTTTAAACCCAGCCGCCACTACTGCATGGACTCCGCCATTTTGAAATTTATATACACCCATTTTTCAATTTTTCACACTAAACAACACTGAATGGTTGAGAATGCATCAAACACCTCAGTTCCAGAGAAAAAATGAAAAAACCTGTCTAATGGCTGTATATGGAGAGAAAAATCCTCAAGGTCAGCCAATAGCAAATGTGCACAAACTACTGCAGACTGCCTATATACACTAACTAGTGCAAATACAATGAGCAGGAAGCAGCTGAAAATTACACTTTTCACATGAGCAGCTTCGACTACCTGTTCCTACTGATAATGGGGAGGGTTACCCAGGCTAGACACTGCCAACTGTAGAGGCCAAGTGCACGAAAGACATAAAACATTGGCCATGATTTGACATGAAAGCTCACCAG